TGTAAACCCATATATATACCTCCTTATGGAGAAGAATAAAGTATCTGAACATATTGAAAACCCGTATTCATATTTTAGCAGTTATTGGTCTTTGTTCTTTTTTCTTTTTGTTAGTTGTGTAAGACCAACTCAAGACCCAAACTAGATGAACTGTATACCTGAGGGTGTAACTAGTTTATATAAGTTTAAAGGGTCAGTTTCTCTGAGAATTAGCAGCCCCTGTTTGGTTATTCAACTATAATAATATTCCTATTGTCCGAAAATAAATAAATAAATAATTATACAAAAAAAAGATTAAGTAATTGGTTGTCATAGAAACACAGGCAAAGAGGGTTCATGTGTATAATTAGGAGATACTTTCCTAATCCCTGATTGTATCTTATTCCTTGTAAAGCACTCTGTAAACCCATATATATACCTCCTTATGGAGAAGAATAAAGTATCTGAACATATTGAAAACCCGTATTCATATTTTAGCAGTTATTGGTCTTTGTTCTTTTTTCTTTTTGTTAGTTGTGTAAGACCAACTCAAGACCCAAACTAGATGAACTGTATACCTGAGGGTGTAACTAGTTTATATAAGTTTAAAGGGTCAGTTTCTCTGAGAATTAGCAGCCCCTGTTTGGTTATTCAACTATAATAATAGTGTACACATATTGAAACCCTAGTCGGCCGAAGATATGCTTTCAATTTTTGTACAATTCTCAAAAGTATAGTAAAATACACGTTTTTTTAAAAACCAAACTCCATGTGGCATCACATGGCATCATCCAGAATCATGTAAGTACCTACACCCCTTTTCAATTTCCATCTTCCATCTTCCAACTTCCTTTTCTTTCCATCTCTGTTATCATCCATCTTCCTTTCTTCCTCTGTTTGTCAGACCTCTTCTTTCCACCTATGTTATCTTCTTTTTTATTTTCCCAGCCCCTTTAATTTCCACCCTCCGTATATGGCTTCTTCAAGGACTCTATCTCTCTCTTGGATCTATCGAACCCCATGGGCTGCAGCGATTCCTCTCAAACACGATTTTTCGTGTCCCCTTCGGAAGATGTGTAGAGCTCTTGCTCGGGTGCTTGCACCACCTCCTTCCACTCTTGGGTTGTTACCACCTCCTTTCTTGCTAAGGATGTTGGTTTCTTTGGCTTTGGGAAGTGTTTTCCCTGGTTTGCTCTTGGATTGGCTGTTGGTTCCCTCTTGGTGCTTTGGTGGTTTCGTTTTTGTAGGAGTTATTGGGTCTTTGATGGTCGGTTTATGTATTGCAAGGAATTTTCAGATTTGTAGCTTTTGTTTTTGTTTTGTGTGTTTTGTTATGTTTGCAGTTCTTTCACTCATCATTAGTCCTGGTGGCGATGTCTCGATTTTCATGGAAGCTGCGGCAGCAGTACTTTGGCGTTTGGTGGTGTTTCTGCCTTTGGTTGGCTCTGGCTTTATGCCAGCTTTGTACTCTGACTTTATGTCAGTTTTGTGTTATGGCTTTATGCCTGTTTAAGTTTTATTTCTAGTAGGCTTTTACTGTTGCATTTGTTTGTCTTGTAATGGGCATTGCCTTTCTATCAATGAAACTTGATTCTGAACAAAAAAAAAAAAAAAAAAGAGGGCTCATGTCTTTCTTTTCTGAATTTACGAATCTATCAGTCGAGGTCTCCGGTTCAAATCCCTCGGCCGATGCGAAATTAAGGAGAGCGTATTCGCAGAAAGATAAGCTCCGCGTGGAGCGGGAGACTCTGCAGGCTGTGCTCGAGCAGTGCCAGAGAGCCCTCGAGTCGCTCGACACCACTGGGGGTGCTGACGGAGACGGTGATGGAGAGGATGACGGTGAGGATGAAGACGATGATGACGATAACTGTTCTCGTGGTGCGGTCGATGACGATGAGAGCCAGCAAGGCCGCAGATCGACGAGTTCGCGCCCTAACTGCGAAGCCGACGAGGTATGGATTGGGGTTCTGTGTGGGGTTTGAGCTCAATTTTAGGGTTCGACTTTGATTGAATTCTGGTGTTTTGGGGATTTTTGGACTTTATGATTGAATACTGGAAATTTTTAAATTTTGGTTAAATGATTGAGATTGGGATTAAGGGGTTTTTTTAAAGACGTTCTTCTCCTAAATGTTGAAGCAAAGAGCAATTGAGCTGTTACCGGTTTAATCAATAATTAATGGTGAATTGCGCCTTGATTAGTATTATTAATGGCAATTGTTGAGCTTGATAACTGTGTGGAGTGTGGACAGTGATTGCTTATAAGGTTGAAAGGATGAAGCTTTTGCTTCGACTAGCTCAGTATAACCATATAATGCCTAAGCAATATATGGTTTTTTTGTGGCGGTACACTTACTCCTCTAATCTCACCGTATTAGATCTTTTGTGGGAATAGAAATTTAAGATTTCACTTCTGGTGTGTCATGGTACCTTGAGTAATCCCAAGTGAAACCTTCTATAGCTGACTTTGCTGGGTAGACACTGTACTCCTTCTTATCAAAGCTTTCCATATTCTAACTCACATGTCATTTGCATTTGGATGCAGTCATTCATTGTTCTTACTCCCTAAAATTATGGTGGAGGATGTTGGGTGCTCTCGGAGCGGAGTGGGTCATTCCTAAAGGGTGTTTTGAGCTCCTTAGTATCAATTTGAGGGTCGGGAAGGGGAAGAGAGCTGGAATCCTTCGAGATTGTCTAGTTCATGCTATATTCTGGAATATCTGGATGGAGCGTAATCGAAGAATTTTTCAGGGTCATATAGGAGTAGGGTTGAGGAATTATGGGATAGAATTAAATTTTGGGCATCTCTTTGGGCTTCGGTTTCGGGGCAGTTTAAGGATTATCACTACTCTATCATCTTGAGAGACATGACGGCTGTCTTAAGATGATGTTACTTATGTTTTTGTGTTTTTAATTACAGAATCTTTCTGTCTTAGTTGGTCAGATACTCTTCATTATAGGTTTTGTTGCTTGATCGAGGTTTTTTCCTCTTGATTATCAATACAATGTTTCTATTATAAAAAATAAAAAAAAGAGTTGAATGCCCCGACTTCCTTCAAAAGCTAGAATGCGCGCAAGCATCAGTTCCCAAAATATGGCTGGTATGCATCTGAAAATGGTCACAATGATATTTTATAACCATGTGATATGTCTTCTGCGTTTTGAAGATTAGGCTCTTTAGACTTCTTCTTGACTATGTTCTCTATATGGTGCCGTGGTAAACTATCCTTGTATGGCAGCAGCAGAGGGTAGTTCCTGGGATCTGGTTAATGAGAATGATCTATGGGAAGATGAGGAAAGCAACTTGGGTGAAGAAGACTATGTTCTTCTTAGGCAAGAAGATATGTTCTTGTTAAACAGACTAAGGTACCCTGAAACTCTACTCAACATAATTTCATTGTTACTTGATTTGATTTTATACTACCACAACTATGATTGACACATATATAGAAAATTACCCCAACATGACTGTCTACCAGAATATTGTGTGTGGAAGCCATACATTTTTATTTTCTACAAACCAAATGACTGTCAATCAGATAAATGATCTGACACAATAAAACTCCTGCAACAGGACTAGAGGGGACATACTATAAGTCCTAACATGAAGAGTTCATAGGCACCATGCTTTTGTCATTATCGCATTGCAAGCTTTTTTATAAGAAAAGCTCAGTGAAGCGCTTAATGACAATAATACGTCAAATGTTTCCTTGCAGCTATTTTGCTGTGATGAAAGATAACTAATTCCTTAAGATGTCCATCCAATTCCCTTCGATGATATAAATAGTGGCCCACTTTTGAAAATCTGCAAAACAGTGTATACTTCAGAATGGTAGTTTCACTTTGGTGAACCCGGAGATTAAAAAAAAGAAAAGAGATTACATGAAAACAAATAGTATAGAAAGCTTTTGTCTTTTGGTAAAGGCAAGGTTATGCAACAATATAAAGCTATAAATTCTCTGAGAATTGCAATCATATATTGCTGTTCCTCTTAACAAACTTTATCCTTAATATTTTAACTGCAAGGAAAATATACAGTCAACAAATTTGTTTCATATGTGGTATATTAACAGAATATACATACAAATTCTAAGTTTCAATATGAGCCTATCAACTACAATGGCAATTAAGGAAATGGCGATGATAATCAAGTGATGATAATGATCCCAAATCCCGATAATGACAACTATGTTTCGTGAACTCACTGATAACAGGCTCATACAAACCAGGGATGGTATGAAAATAAACTTCAGCCACAATATTGTTATGATTGAAGATAACATGACATTACCGTATTGCCACTACGAGAAGGCTGCGATTCAGGTCGACCAGGGCTACCAGGCGGGGGAGGAGGAGGAGGAGCATTGCCTTCTCCCTGAAACACACAACCACCATATAAATTTCCTTTCCACCACAAATAATGCACATTCGAATTGTCTGTATGGTACATTTGTGTGACTATGCATGTACAATGTTCATGTGTGTTCCTTCCTATAGATTCAAGCTATTGACGGAAAAAAGCAGCATTTGTCATAAAATTGAACCAAAAATGTACCTGAGGCGTTTCCGTGATTCGGTTAGTCATCCTCTGAATCCCAGAGTTAGAGAAACATATCCCACATGGATCCACACCACCCCGCGCCTACATTGATCAAAACTCAGAATGTAACCCAAAAGATCAAACCCAGAAACCAACCAAACCAAACCCACAAAAACGGCAAAAATACCAAATCAAACAAGCAAACCCATGATTTATTTTCCAAAAATAAAACAACAAAAACAGAACAGTTAACCAATTGAAAAGAATTGAAAACAAATGCAATAATTAATTTAAATTCCTCCTTTGAATTTATTAATAACCATTATCATAGTTAATTATCATAGTTGCTAATTTAAAGAAAATAAGTAAATCTGAAGATGGTAGCAACTAGAAACTTAAATAAAATTAAAGATTTACAAGGAAGGTGTTCAAAATTACCATTTTAGCCCAAGAAGTGGATCAGATAGCCAGCCAAGCAGAGCCCATCATCAATCCTCCTCCAACATTCCAACTCCGTCTTTTTTCACGAACTTGCGATCAATTTTGATGTCTTGGACTTGAGATGCCTTTTTCACCCACTCCGTTCCACATCTCGTCTCGAACCATTGTCTAAGATTCGAACAATTCCAGATTCTCAATTCCCGCAGCGGGGTCTTCCATAAGAAGTTCGGCAATGCTTTCAGCTCATGGCAGTTCCAGAATAACAAGTATAAAAGAGATGGCATTATTGTAATTTTAGAATCCTCTTCTTCTACTCCTTCCCATTCTTCCCACTGCTCCATGTCTGTAAATCGAAGTTGTTTCAATTTCGGAAACGAGTTTATTAATGTTTGCGGTGTTTCGCCTGTTATTCCCAAAAATTCAACTCTCACCTTTTTCACACTGATCATCCAACTAATCTCTAAATATTCAAGGGACGGGAGTTTCCCCAGAGGAGCCAAAACCCCACAAAATGGAATCCTAGAGAATTCAAGCCTTCTCAGATTATGACAGCTCATCATCCAACTGGGACACAGGTTGGTACTCTGGTAATTACGGATAGCCAACGACTCTAGATTTGTATGCACTTGAAAGCCATTCAGTATTTCTTCATTCTTTAAATTCGCCTCAGCTGAATGCCCAAAATGTAGAGTCAAATGAAGGAGGTTCTTCTTGTTCACCAATTCTGCATTTTTAGCCTCACTCCCATCTTTCGCTGACTTCAAGTTTGCTATGTAAAGGCTCCCTTGAAGCTGCTCCAAGTTTCCCAAATCCCCTAACTTGAAAATTCCTTCGTCATCCTCGCCACCATCTTGAATATACAAGAAATCTAAGATTTGCAGTTTTCTTAATCTTCCAATCTCTCTTGGTACTTTTAGATAACGGCACCCAACAATATAAAGATGCTTTAATTTAACCAATTTTCTTAAGCTCACCTGTAGTTCTCTGAGTCTCAAGCACCTATTGAGACGCAATGTTTCCAGATTGAATAAATTACCCACAGAATCGGGTAATTCTTCCAATCCCCCATTCTCACTTAAATCAAGATACCGCAAATGTACTAGTCCACCAATACTTTCGGGAACTTCTTTGATTGAGTCTTTATTTAACTTTAACGTTCTAAGGCTTTTCAATTTTGAAAATGAGTCCGAGGGCAACGGAAGTTTCCAAGTAGAAATTACCAGAGTCCGTAATTCTTTGCAATTGTATGTTGAAACAAGAAATGAATCATTGCATGTTGACATTATGTTCAAATGACGAAACTTATTATGATCAAACATGTTTTTCTCTTTGCAATTTTCCTCCCCCTCCATAATAAAACATTCATTTTTGGTGAGAAACTGTACAAAGTCATGCACAATATCATGCATTTTGCAGCCTATAATATCATCATCCACTTTGTTTTTAACAAAATCTTGGAAAAAAGAGCGCATCACTAAGTTATCAAAGTACTGTTGGCCTATTATTCTTTCTATTTCCCTATTTCCCTTCATACTAAGATATTCTTGTGACATCCAACACTCAATCAAATCGGTTTTATCAAACATATAATCTTTTGGAAAAGTTGCACAATATAAAAGACAACGTCTAACTGCCGGACTCAACTCATAATAACTTAGGAATAGTGATCGAAAAATCTGTTGTTCAACTTCTTCTAACTCCCACATCTTATTATCCAAAACATCTACCCATTCATTTCTTGTCTTCTTATATCGCATGAGACTAGCTAAAGTCTTTGCAGCAAGAGGCAAACCATTGCACTTTTCAACAATTTTTCTCCCAATATCTTCAAGCTGATGATCTCTTTCTCTATTAAAGAAGGCAATTTTATTGAATAATTGCAAACAATCTTTATCACTCAAGATGTTCAAATGGATTACGTGATCAGCGGTTGCTCCAATCACAGTAGCAACCGTCTCTTTTCGAGTGGTCACCAATATTCTACTGCCTATAGCACTATTTTGTAAAGCTTCCATTAATGGTTCCCAATTACTAATGGTTGGATTCCACACGTCATCTAGAACAAGGAAAAAGTTTTTACCACTAATATATTCATTTATACATTCCAACAAAGGTTGCAAACTAGTTGAATTAATACGATTATCACCTTTGTTTAGCTTTTCAACAATGGCTTTGGCAATCTTGATCTCTTCAAAAGGGTCTGACACACAAACCCATATTCTAGTGTCAAAATGAGTTTTTATATTTTCATCATTATAGACTAATTGGGCCAAGGCAGTTTTTCCTAATCCTCCCATGCCCACAATGGGGATCACAGCAAATGGACTCCCCCTTTGTTGACTACTCTCACTTAACAACATGCTCATTAATCTATTTTTCTCCTCTTCACGACCAATTATACTAGACACTTGGACAAAAGAAGAAGTTTCAACCCGTTCAAGTTTCTCAGTGGCTCTAATTGTGTTCTCATGAAAGTTATAATTTTTTCTTAAAATGGCTATCTCAGTTAACTTTTCATTTATTTCCTTTATTCTCGTAGCAATGTCACGACGCAAAATTACCTTACCAATTGAACCAAAACAAACGCTGGGGGAAGGAATGAAGAAGCGTACCTTTCTTTTTGTAAGGGCAACATTTTTACCTTCTTTCTCTTCTTCTTTCTCAATTTGGTGCTTGAGAATTTCAGTGTTCCACTCATCCAACACGTCGTTTATATCGTAGGACACATCTTCCAGATTCCGCAGCCAGTTTCTGACGTTGGCCTCCTTCACCTGCCTCTCCTCTGCATCCTGGAGCACAGCTTGAATAGCATTGAAATGGAAGACGAGATTTTCAACTTCTCTGTCAACATTCACGACCAGCCTCACCTCTTCTTCTATCTGTTTACGGGTGATGGAAACCAACTGTTCTAGGACCACGGAAACAAGTGCTTCAACCATTGATGGTGGAAATACAACAGGGAAAATACGCCAAGTGCAACTGGGAAATATGATTAAAGCAGAGCACAGATCTCGAAAGCTAATGGCAAGAGATTCAAAAGAATAATGGAATATGGTTGGTGAAGTAAGAAGCCTCACCACCACCAGATTTTATAGCTAGTATTTTTTAACGTTGGACTAAAGTTGTTTTGCTTTCCAGTGGAGCGGGACATTACTTTTTGACAAAAACAGTGTTTTCCCAACGGCACATAACCTTATCCTCAGCAATGCAATGAGTGTTCTTGGCCATTAGCATTTTTTGGCTTTACCCAAGAACATGAGCTCAAGTGGCTTCATTATTGCCCCACTGTAACGGCTCTTTGTACTATTCTTGATGTGTAACTGAGCATTCTGATGGAAATCATGTCATATCTTTGTGCAAATGGTGGGGTTGATGGGTCTTTTCTGCTCACCCCTTAATCGTTGTGTATCATTTATCTCTCACATGGTATTATTGTGTGCAACGGTAAAATATCATACGTGATTTTCTACATTCGTTAGCAAACTTCTTGTTGCTCATAATTTCCCAGTGTACACATATTAGCTAGAAACATGGTTGTAGTATAATCCAGATCCAACTTAAAGACCTTCTTAAATAAATTTATATTTATAGTCTTTTTAGTTAAAATTTAATTTTGAAATTAGAGTATGACTGGAGGAGATGCTCTTAAAACTTATGTGCAACTACCTATTAGCTTAGTGGCATGTAGTTATTGAAACCCTAGTCGGACGAAGATATGTATTTTTCAAAAAACACTTTCAATTTATGTACAATTGTTAAAAGTATAGTAAAATACACATTTTTAAAAAACCCCAAACAAACTATATACACATATACTTACAAATGTCTGAATAATATAGGTAAAATTCACGTATTTTTCACCTGTTATTGAAAACACTTTAAATTTTTAAATAATTAATATTAAAATACTCTATAGTGGCCAAACTTTCACAATATTTTAAAAAAAATATCGTATATTACTAATTATAATTAAAACCGTATCTCAAATAAAACATAGAACATATATTAGATCAATGAGTTTATCGTTCTTTATTAGGGTACATATTAATTATAATCTATTGATGTTGTGACATACATCACATGGCTATATTTGATTAGGGTTGGGTTAACCTAGTACAGCAAGAAGGATAGAAAACTTTTATTAAGGAATAGAAAACCTCAAAAACCAAAGAATAATAGTATAATTGAGAAAACAAACGAACGGTTCCGTCATTCTGTGTGAGTGGGAGATATTCTCTTCCACGTAACCAAACAGCTCATCATCCAACTGGGACATAGGGTGTTACTGTGGTACCTAATGATAGCCAACGACTCCAGATTTGTATGTACTTGAAAGCCATTCAATATTTCTTCATCCTTTATATCTGCCTCAGCTCTCACCAGATCTCCAACAAAGTGCCAAAAATTTAGAGTCAACGACTCCCATCTTTCGATGACTTCAAGTTTCCTATCCAAAGGCTCCCTTGAAGCTGCTCCAAGTTTCCCAAATCCCCTAACTTGAAAATTCCTTCATCATCCTCGCCACCGTCTTGAAGATACAACCAAAATCTAAGATTTGTAGATTTCTTAATCTTCCAATCTCTTTTGGTACTTTTAGACAATCGCACTCCTCAATATAAAGATGCTTTAAGTTAACCAACTTTCTTAAGCTCACCGAGTAGTTCTCTGAGTCCCCAGCACCATTTAAGAAGCAATGTTTCCAGATTGAATAAATTACCCACAGAATCAGGTAATTCTTCCAATTTCCCATTCCCACTTAAATCAAGATACCGCAAATGTACTAGTCCACCAATACTTTCGGGAACTTCTTTGATTGAGTTTCCTTTGAACTTTAATGTTCTAATGCTTTTCAATTTTGAAAATGAGTCCGAGGGTAACGAAGGAAGTTTCGAAGTAGAAATTACCAGAGTCCATAATCCTTTGCAATTGTAGATTGAAACAGGAAACGAATCATTGTATGTTGACATTATGTTCAAATGACGAACCTTATTATCGACTACCATATTTTTCTCTTTGCAATTTTCCGCCTCCTCCATAATAAAACATTCATTTTTGGTGAGAAATTGTACAAAGTCATGCACAATATCATGCATTTTGCACGTGCTAATATCATCTTTGTTCTCATATATAACAAAATCTTGGAAAAAAGAACGCATCACTAAGTTATCAAAGTACTGTTGGCCTATTATTCTTTCTTTTTCTCCATTCATACTAAGATATTCTTGTGACATCCAACACTCAATCAAGAAATCGTGCTCTCTGGACTGGAAATTGTAGCTGGAGAACTGGTGCATATCCACTCAATTGGATTTTCAGCAGAATGTTCGGTTGCACTTTTCTTGAGCCGATTAAGCACTTGGGCTCCATGAATATTGAGCAAACTAACTTCTTTGCTTTGGAAAATTCACTTCTTTTATTGAAAAAAGTGAGCAAATCAACTCCACATGCATTGATTGAGATGCAATGATCCTAGCACAGTTTGCAAGCCTGCTGGATCTACAAAAAAAAAATTGCAGGTGCATTAAGAAACTGAAGTAATTTCCACTCAATTGAGTCTCCATAAAAAAAAGGTAGTTGCTTTAGACACAATAAGGCGAAGTTGATGAGAAATTCAATTAATTGGATCTGGAGCACACTGGAAGAATTGAAAACTACTTAGAATGTGATTACAATTTCAAAACAGAATACCTTAATCATATGTATGTATAAGGTATGAAGCAAAACAAGTTCCTCGAATAATTAAGTTAACACATATGAGGGAAGGGAAAATAAGAGTTGATGTTTCCAATGCGTACAATTAAAGGCAAAGATACCTTGGAGAGGAACAAGCCTTCTATGGATCTCAAGACACTCTGCCCAATTCCATCTTGATCAAGTTATTTAGGCATCCGGAGAAGGACTCGTAAAGACCTGTTGTGTTGGCTCTCCTTATTCCAAAGTATAGAACAAAAGATCAAAACTCACAAACGAAGCCGAAAGGAATGAACTTATAACTACAAACTAAGAAAATTTCACAATAAGCTGGATAATTATATATCAAAACGAAATGACTAGGACTAGGAAATTAATGTTGCAGGAAAAATTACCTTCTTCTCATGGAAGATTATGCACTGTTGGAAGATTACCGAGGATACATACAGCCACTTGAATCAAAAGGAAAAAGAAAACAAAGAAATCTGTAGTTGGTAGCAACTAGAAACTGGAAGTAAATATGGTAAACGAATAATGACTACATGAATAATTAAGGGGTTAATTAACATATCTTACCAGAAATGGTGGATGAGATTGGCAGATCCCATCGTTGTCATCTTCATCATCATGAATTCTCTATTGTGCTGGCTCCATCAGAACTCCATCTTCATCTCAATTTTGACAGACGTGATGAAAATGGGTAATCAAGAAGTCCATCTTGAGAAAGTTAATTACGCTAGCAGAGGCACTCATTCCATGAGAAGTTATTGTTGGTTCGGGTTGTCTGACAAGTAATCGTCTAGTGTAGTCTAATTGTGTTTGAGAAGTAGGACACCATCTACACTCAGCCACGAGGGAGGAGGGAATACCTGCAAGAAAACACTCCGACGCTCAAGTTAGTAGGTGTTAACTCCAAGTGAATTGTAGTACAATACAATATAGCAGGAAAAATTACCTTCTTTCTCGTAGAAGATTATGCAGTGATGGAAAAGATTACCAGAGGAGGTGGATCAGATTGGCAGAGCCCATCATCATCATCATCATCAATTCTCCGGAGCTAGATAAACATGTTAAAACGAAGTGATTTTGACTAGGAAACTAATGTAGCAGGAAAAACTTACCTTCTTCTCACCGAAGATTATGTACTGTTGGAAGATTACAGAGGATGCAGCAGCCACTTGAATTGAAAGCAAAAACGAAATCTGAAGATGGTAGCAACTAGAAATCTAAGTAAATAATGAAAAATTAATACATGAATAATTAACAGGAAGGGGGGTTAATTGACATTTTACCAGAAGTGGTGGATGAGATTTGCAGAGCCCATCATCGTCATCTTCATCAGTTCAGCATCATGAAATCTCTGTTGTCTCTGGCTCCATCCGAACTCCGTCTTTTTGTACAAATTTAGAATTAATTTTGATGTTTGGGATGTGAGAGACCTTGTCCCACTCCCTGCCACTTGCTGTTTCGCAACCTTGGAGAATATTCTCACACTTACTAATGACTAATTTCTGCAGAGGCGTCTTCCACAGGAAGTCCGGCACTGCTTTCAGATTAGGACATAACTTGATTCTTAAGGTTGAAAGAGATGGCATTAATTTAATTTCAGAATCCTCTCCCTCCCTGTGCCCTTCAACTCCTTCCCAATCTTCCCACTTCACCATGCTTTCGAAACAGAGTTTTTTCAATTTCGGGAATAATATTGTTGGCGTTTCCAATTGATCATCTATTCCCAAAAAATCAACTCCCAACTTTTCAACTAAACCTCAATAAAGGTTCGTTGTTTTGTTTAATCTGCATGCTTTAGTTGTTTCTCAGAAAATTTAATTCCCGAATTGAGAAATGATTGCAAGAAGCAAATGAATTGATTTCTATAACTGGACAAGCAGTTTCTACTCCTTCCTTCATTTTAATACCGTTCATCATTTCAGGGACTCTATGGAAGCCAACGGAGTGATGTAAACCATCAAAGTCACCACTGCCTTGTGAACTTGACAGAGACATGATGAATTTCGAAGGTCTACTGAGCTTTTGATTAACAAACATTGATGAGTGCCCTGATTTTTTTTTTTTGTAAGCAGAAACTTGGTGAACACCTTATTTTTTAAGTAGAGGCAACATCGACTGTACAGATAACTAATCTACTGGTGTATTGATCATTTGCAAAACTTCCTTGGTGTCATTAATTCGTAAAATCTAGTCTTGAGGAACTGGTGAATTTGGGTTTGCAATTTACCTAGAAGGTGTGTTTTGTTGTTCCTCTAGAAGGTGTCTTTTCTTTGCCATCGGTAACTTTGATTTGGTGTGTGTTCTTAAGCTAGAAAAGTCTTCGTTAACCTTGCCTTCAACAACTAATTCATAGAAGAAGAGGTAACTTGTTTTGAACGTGAAGAAACAAGTTGAACAATTCGTTGGCAATCTCAAACCTATTCAAGCTGCGCGCGCTTGGGGATGCAGAGCAAATGCAAGCAACCAAGGCACTACAACTTATTGCAACTTGTTCCACTATACTTGAAATTAACCTCTCTTTTTTTGTTGAAATTAATTTAATGGATCTTCAAAATCAAATAGACAAAACTAAGTTTGAAATGTTTAGGCCGTTTGATAACCATTTCAATTTTCAATTTTCAGTTTTCATTTGTAAAAACTAAAAACTGAAAATTTGTTTGGTACTAATTTCAGTTTCATAAAAAGTGAAAAGTGAACTGAACATAAGTTGTTTGGTAACTGATTTCTTAATGGGGTTTCTTTTCTTTGCTCTAAATATACTTCACGAGGCCCATTAGTCTCTTGGACATGGAACTTAGTGCAACAAGCCTTTGGTCCAATATCCATTTTTTAATTTCCTGCAGCATTGGTCTCATTTTTTGTGCTTGGGCATGGTCCTGGAAATTGCCCAATGAACTATTGGCTTCTTTGAGTTCCTAATGATTCAGGATTTCCATCTTCTCATCCCCTGGCTTCTGACGTTTAAGGGAAAGAGGAAAAAAAAAAATACACTTCAATAAGTGTGAAGAGAAAAAGTATTGACACATTGTTAAAATTCCATTCGAGACCAATGAATCATAAGGAGTATTTTCAGTGATGACTGACTGTTAGCCATCGAATAAGAAAAGGAAAACCAAAGCTTTATAATTTATTGATTATTACTAAACCACTTAAGTTTCCTTCTTCTAAGAAATTAAATGAGTATAATATGGTCAATTTATATTTTTCCTATTAAAAAAATATAATTATATGATTTTTTTTTAATTGAAGGACATCCATGCTTAAATTTTTTAGTTCAATAATATGTTTTTGAATGCATACATTTGTACTAAGAGTGGTAGTAATCTATATATATAAAGCAAAAGGCAGAGAATGGTGTAACATTAAAAATACCATAAATACCCCTGGTTAATGTAAATATTAAAATTTGAAATTATTAATTAAATGAGGATAATATGGCCAATTTATATTTTTCCTATTAAAAAAATAAAAATAAAAATAAAATCAGATAATTGGTCCTATTTTTATAAAACATAACTACCCATTTTATCTTTTCTTAATTCTTAAAAAAAAAAAAAAAAAAAAAAACCAATTGGCACTATTAAGCTACTATTAATTTTTTATCTACTGGTGTATTGATCATTTGCAAATCTTCCTTTGTGTCATTAATTCGTGCAATGTACTCTGAGGAACTACGTACTTTAGTAGTTTTTGAATCGTCCACTGAAATAGTTGCTACCCATCGAGTTATTTTCTTCCCCATTTTTCGAAAGCCACATGTATGTTGGTTAAATCATATGTGAATGGTTAAGATGTGTTGAAATGCATCTGACTGATCACTTTGTGTAAATGTCCTACGCGGGTTTTATATATACAATATTTAACATATTAATATATATAACATATACGTTAAAAAAAATTGGAGGCACAAAAAACTAACATAGAACCAAAATTAGAGAAATGGAAAAGCATTTGTGGATCTACGACAATCAATTACAATTCACTTTCTGAAAACGAATTCATAAATCACTTTCCGAAATTTCATATGTAATACCTTGATCCTTGATTTTAATACTTAGAATTAGTAAATAAATCCTCATAGTCAATTGAACTAAATTTAAGTAATACGCATCATACCTCCATCTAGAGGCGGACAAAAAAATTGTTGTCACCGGTAAACAAAGGCGGCTTTATTTTAGTGATTGGCGTGGAGTTGGAAATTCGGATACATTATATAAATGGCTTGGTTGCTTTTCTTTTGGTGGACCAGTTGACTTTACTCGCTATAGAAACGGGCTAGAAGAAGGGTGAAAGCACAAGGCAAAAATCTGGTGACATACAGTTTCAGTTTTATTAATATTGATTTTTTTATGAAAAAATGTACAAAGCTCAACTCAAACAACTAAACGAAGTGAATTGATCTGGAGATAATTATTTATTATTTATTTTGTTACATTAAAAGGGATCGTTAACCTAAGATTTCCCATATCTCTCTAGAGAACAGTAAACATAAACTTGATTTAAAAGTTGGCATAACCAAATAAGAAAAGTAAGTATAATATACTAGCCACTCTTTGGCCATGGTTGCCTTGTTGGAGATTTATGCACTACCTCTTGGTAATGCTTCAACAAGTTTATATAAAAAAAACTCGATCAATTATTAAGCTAGTTTACATCATCCACGCCTCAACAAGTCGTTAATCTTGTCTTGTATGGTAAGGTCAAGAAAGACAGTCTGGCACACTCACCAGCCCCAGATTAGATATCGCTTTTCTAATATAGTGTCAATTTGTCACTTTAAAATTGACCTGGAGTTTGCCTTGAAGACTTACACAGCATATAAACTGGGCAGAAGAAAGGGAACACCACAACACAAACAATCATCCTGCAATAAGTTCTTCTTCATAAACACTGCTGTCAACCATTTTCTAAAGCTCAAAATAATGGCTGATGCGCTCATTTCCATGCTGCTGGAACGGTTGGCCTCGACATCTTATGAATACATAGAAGGAGAGCTGAAACATGTTTTGAACGTTAAGGAAGATGTTGAGAAATTCACTGGGACTCTGGAAGTTATTCAAGCCGTGCTTGAGGATGCAGAGCAAAGGCAAGTGATGGAGGCAAGTGTCAAAATCTGGTTGGATAAGCTGAAAGATATATCCTACGAGATGGTGGATGTGCTGGATGAGTGGAACACAGACATTCTCAAACAACAAGTTGAGAAGCAAGAAAGAGAAGGTGATCCAAATGCTCTTGTTACAAAGAAGAAGGTACGTTTCTCTAGTTTCTCCCGTTGCTTTTGTTTTGGCAAAGTCAGTCGGCTGATTCTTCGCCGTGACATTGCTCTGAAAATAAAAGATCTGAATGATAAGTTAACTGAGATTTATGAGGAAAGAAAAAAGTACCAGTTCCTACGCAAAGAATTAGGCATTCAACAACCTCAAAAACCTCAACGACCTCAAACTGCATCTTATGTCAATATGTCTGAGATATTTGGTCGTGAAAAGGAACAGAATATTTTGATAACAAAGTTGTTGGGTGATAGTAGTGAAGAAGAAAAGGGGCTCCTTATCATCCCTATTGTAGGGATGGGAGGCGTGGGAAAGACAACTCTGACCCAACTAGCCTATAATGATGACCGAGTCAAAACCCATTTTGATATGAGGCAATGGGTTTGTGTTTCAGACCCTTTTGATGAGATTAAGATTGCCAAAGCCATTATTGGTAAAGACGCCCCAAATTCAAATGAGTTGAATGAGGTGTTGCGATGTATGTCTGAATTTATCCATGACAAAAGTTTTCTCCTTGTCCTGGATGATGTATGGACCGATGATCCTAAAAAGTGGGAACAATTAAAGGTACCATTAATCCAAAGTGGTGCTGAAGGCAGCAGAATATTGGTGACCACAAGAAAACATGAGGTTGCTAAAATGATGAGAGCAACAAGAAACATGATCAATCTGGGAGGGTTGAGTGATGAATATTGTTTGTCAATCTTCAATCACATGGCCTTTTTGGATAGGGTTGTAGATGAGTCTAAGGCTTTTGATGATATTAGTAAGAAAATTGTAAGGAAGTGTAAGGGTTTGCCTCTTGCTGCAAAGACTTTAGGTAGTCTCATGCAGAATAAGAGAACAATGAGAGAATGGAAAGAGGTTTTGAATAGTAAGATATGGGATCTAGAGAAGGTCGAGCAAGATGTTTTCCAACCCCTGTTCCTAAGTTATTATGATTTGGACCCCACAATTAAATGTTGCCTTTTATATTGTGCTACTTTTCCTAAAGATTACATGTTTCAACGAGATGATTTGATTAAACTTTGGATGGGCACAAGACTATGTTATTTCGAAAGGGAATAAAGAAAAGGGAACAACGGGTGATGCAGTTTTTGACAACTTAGTGGCCCGATCATTTTTCCAGGATTTTGATGAAGATCCTGACACTGGTACAATTACAAGTTGCAAAATGCATGATATTGTGCATGACTTTGTGCAATTTCTCACCAAGAATGAGTGTTTGATTATCGATCATGGTGAGGAAACTACCAACGAATCAAAGGTATTGGGTGATAAGGTTCACCATTTGACCTTGAGATATGTTCCTAAAGGTCCACTTGTTATCTCATCCTACAATTGCAAAAAACTTCGCACGCTCACAACTTTCGATTCAGGAATTACTACAATAGATCCAAATTTAATTTTACAATTGAAATGTCTTAGGACATTAAATTTGAGTGGTAATTCCATCAAAGAACTCCCATAGGAGATTGGTGAATTGATACATTTGAGGAATATTGATTTGTCTTACAATGAAGATTTGGAGAAATTACCTGACACTATTTGTGGTTTGTACAATTTGTCTACCTTATCCCTTTATAATTGCTATAAACTTGAAACACTGCCTAAAAACATGGGAAACTTGATTAACTTAAAGCATCTTTATGTTGAGGAGTGTGAAGCTCTGGAGTTCTTGCCCAAAGGGATAAGGAGATTAACAAGTTTGCAAACACTAGATGTGTGTCGGTGTGGCGGCAACAACAATGAAGCATTTCAAATTGGGGATCTGAGAAAGTTGAACCTTGAGGGAAGTCTCACAATACAATTTGTGGGGGATGCGACAGATAAGAGCGAGGTTGAGAAAGCACAATTGTGGGACAAAAAGCTATTTCATCTCAACGTTGATTTTGAAAGGCAGAGGAACAGTAGTAGTAGTGTAGAAATACTGAATGCCTTACAACCGCACCCAGATTTGGAATCTTTACAGATTTGGGATCATAATGGCACCACATGGCCCAATTGGATGCAGTCTTTACACAATTTGAGAATCCTTACTCTTAGTAATGGGACACAGTGTGAACTTTGGCCTCTTGGGAAATTGGAGTACCTTGAAAGACTGACCCTATTCGGGATGGATGGAGTGAGAAAGGTCGGTGCTGAATTTTTGGGATTAGAAGATCAAACCTCATTCAAAATCAGATCACCACCCCTGATATTATTCCCAAAATTGAAACGACTCTACTTTTCCGAAATGTGGTTTTGGGAAGAGTGGGAAGGCGTGGAAGAGTGGACGAAAGAGGATTCTGAAATTACAATCATGCCATGCCTTTCTGAGTTAACAATTTACCGCTGCAAATTGCTAAAAGCACTGCCAGACTTCGTCTTCAAAACACCACTGCAGACTCTTCGCATCCCTGGATCTGTGAGACTTTTAGAGCGTTACCAAGAAGGCAATGGAGAGTGGGCCAAGATTTCTGCTACAACCCAAACATCCGCATTTCCTCCAGGTAATTGAGCTCTAGCAATCTCTTATTTACATACATATGTATCAATTCCAACTATGATCTTATTTGTTTCCTTCAAAATCTTCAGAAGATGGTGACTCGCTAGGCACATTTATGGTAACATCTGTCTCGGCGGCATATATATAATCTTGAGATGAGTATGAAAGGTACTTTGATCATCTTCTTTAAAAGGTACTTTCCTTTTTAATTTTCTACTAAAAGTAAAACTAATTGTTCGCATTCCTGTTGGGCAGTTGTAGTGCTTTGATGTTTGTTTTGTTAAATCTCTCTGGAGTTAATTTTCAATTAGCTAGTATTAATAAATTAATTTACTTGTTATGCCACACCTTCTTCGCTTAATTGGAAATCAACTCCCAACTTTTCAACTAAAGCTCACCTTCTTCGCTTTCGCTTTCACTTTCATAATCTGACTGACTAAAAATTAGAAACGGAGTATTGAGGTTTTTCTTATTCACAAATTGTGCCTTATTAACCTCACTCACATCTTGCACTGACTTCAAGTTATATATCCAAATCTCTCGAAGCTGATCCAAGTTTCCCAAATCCCCTAACTTGATCAAGCCTTTATTCTCGTCAACATCATCGTAGAGAGTTAAGCCGTTAAGTGTTTCCAGATTTTTTAGTCTTCCAATCTCTTTTGGTACTTTTAGACTATTGCAATCCCAAAGATAAAGGTGCTTTAAGTTAATCAACTTTCTTATTGTCACTGGTAGTGTTTCAAGTGCAATGCAATCCGAGAGTACCAACGTTTGCAGATTGTATAAATTACCCACAGTATCGGGTAATTCTTCCAATTCATCATTGCCAGATAAATCGAGATCCCGCAAATGTATTAGTACCCCGATCTCTTTAGAAACATCTGTTATCGAGTTGTGACTCAAATCTAATGTCCTAAGGCATTTCAATTGTAAAACTAAATCTGAGCTTAATGCAGAAAGTCTCAACCCAGAAGCTAGAAGAGTACGTAATCTATTGCAACTGTAAATTGAAACAGGAAATGATCTAAAAAAGGATTCATTGAAAAGTACATTCGTCGCCCCCTTTTTCATCCAAAAAAAAAAACAGGAATGATCTATCTGAGATGGACGTTAAACACAAATGACGAACTTTATCATTCAATACCTTGTTTCTCTCATTGCCACACCCAACCTCCATAACAATACATTCATGTTTTGTCAGAAACTGTACAAAATCGTGCACAATATCATGCATTTTGCAGCTTTTAATATTGTCGTCTGCATCTTTATCAAAATCTTGAAAGAAAGACCGCATTACTAAGTTATCAAAATAGCTTTGACCTATTAGTGTTTCTTTTTCACTAGCAAAGGTGCCCGCGCGATACTGCGGGTTTTAAAACCGTTTGAAATGTGTACAAAGTTATGAAAATATGTAGCAAGTTTAAGTTACAAAATAAAGACTAATAACGTGTTTTATATGTTGCTTGTCATCTTAAAATATTGATCATATTTTATTAAACCAAGCAGCAATCAAAATATCAACAGTTGAGCTGCTCCTTGTTCAAAAGAGTTTGGACATGTCTTTACATATATGCCACTGGTGGGGGAAGGGGATTTTTCTGCCTTGATGTCTGTTGAAATTAGATCCATCTCTTGTTTGCTCTACTGCAGAAGTGGTTTCTGTTCTTTCTTTCTTGTCTTTTGCAGGAGTTTTAACTCTGTTGGTACAAATTCGGTAATGGCAGGTGTTAGTGTAGATAAATGGAAAATTTTGAGTGAAGGCAATAACTATTATCACAGAATTAAGTTAAAAAATCAACAGGGCAAACAACAGTTTAGATACATCAAGCATTCTATTAGTCTGATGGACAAAGGTATAAGCTCAGTTTATTTAATCAATTGATAACAAATTTAGAACTGTGACAATTTATTAAATAGGTATAAGGGAATTAAGACAAAACACCCAAGCTCTAATAGAATCAAATCAAGGGGTGTTGATTCTGTTGCTACAAATTTGGAAAATGGTAGGTGTTAGTGTGGACAAATGGGAAAATTTTAGCGAAGACAATGACTATTATTATAGAATGAAGGCAAAAAAATCAATTGCATAAACCACAATTTAAATACGCCAAGCATTGTACGAATCTGGTGGACAAAAGTATAATTTCAGTCATTGCACAAATTATTAAATACCTATAACAGAATGAAACCAAAAGATCCAAACTTTAATAGAATCAAATCAAATACCCATAATAGAATCAAATCCTTCGCAAGTTTGTTGTACATAAGCAGAGATAATCTATAGACACCTATGGTCAAAACTAATACATGTAATATTGCCATTTATAGGTTAAGTTAATATAATGAAGAAGTAAGCTGATGTAGTACGAAAATAAACTGTATTGCCATTTATGTCCCAACACCTACAAATCTTAGTAGAATAACACTTGGTTCCACTTGAAATTTGTAGCACAATAGCTACAACTCAAGAAATATAAAATGACGTAATTAGCCTATATGGTAGATCGCAGAATTAACGATAAGAGCTGATCAATAAGACCTGTGTTAATGGTGAGAAATTAATGTTCAAGCAAATACATAGGTTAAAATCAAGTTTGTAACAAATTATTAAAAATGGTATAATAGCAGTTGGCTATGAACAAATTTAAAAGAAAATTCCAAAAAAAGGATGAAATACCAAACTTTCAGTCAAATCAAGAAACACAAATAAAACATTTTGGACAAAAATTTAACTACTTTGAGCATAATATTCAAGGACAATAAGTGAACAAAAAGTTTCGAACAAAAACAGGAAAAATTAAAAAAAAAAACATTTTTCAACCTTGTCTAGCCTGCAAAGAACCTCCTTCTACTCACAGCCTCTTCTTGACTCTCTTGTACTCTTCTTGACTCTCTTGTACACTGTTAACATCTTGCAAAAACTGAAAAGGCACAAAAAGAAAATAAATGAAAATCACCACAACCTCAACTAAAAACACCAAATGAACTAATGCTTTCTAATTGAACACATTGTAGTCCATAAAACCCAAGAAAAATGTCAAGTTATGACCAGATAAATCCTGCATATTTTCCTTATGACAGAATAGTAGGAAATAAAACAATCACTTTACCTATGGAAGCATTTTGTGGAAGGCATTGAAATGAATGGGGTCTAAATCACACAGAGTTCTATCAATATCAAATAGCACTGCTTCAAGTGGAGCAAGTCCAGAGAGTGAACTTTTGCTGGTTCCAGAGACACATCAGAGAAGGAAAAAAAAAAGGCAATGAGGCATTAGTAAAACAAAAGAATGAAACCAAAAAAATACAAATGTAACATTTGCACCACCTGTTTCTCTGTAATTGATCTTTCACATTTTCATTGCTCAATTCGTACGCAACATGAGATGATACCAAACATATATATACTTTTGAATAGTTGCGATAATTTATTTAACTACTTTGGGCATAATATTCAGGGAGAATGAGTGAACAAAAAGGGTCTAACAAAAACAGGAGAAATAAAATAAAATAAAAACCATTTTCAACCTTGCCTAGCCTGCAAAGAACCACCTTCTACTCACAGCCTCCTCTTAACGCTCTCATACACTACTACCATCTTGCAAAAACTGAAAATCCACAAAATGAAAATCATCACAATCTCAGCTAAAAACATCAAATGAACACATTGTACTCCATCGTTTAACCCAATAAAAAGGCTACATAATGCGTAACCGCTATTTCTTAATCTGGGCTCTCCATATACATATATTTCACAAATTTAAGCAAGAGAAAAGAACTGTAAATCTGTTTGAAACTGAAAAGAAAAGAAAACAAATCATCCCTGCATATAAGAATAAGAAAAGAAACAGTGCAACAAAACGGAGTACATTCTATGAGCAAACAACATAGATCAAACTATATTAGATGACGTACAGAGATAAATATACTCATCCATCAAATAGCTGTCATGCAATAAGAAACGATGGCTATTGTTCTTACAGACTTTATCTTCCCTGTAGAACGTATTTCAAGCCGAAATGTGGCAAAGAATTTTAATGCAATTCCTCCAGATGTCACTTGTGGAGTACCATAGTATACACCAACCTTGCAAAATGAACGAATGATGCCATTAGTTTCTGGAAGTGAAAGAATTATCATTAGGGGAAAATAACTAATAAAGAAACCTGAGGGAACACTCAAAATCATATGCATCTGAAAAATTAATGACTCAAATTCAGCTGCTTAGACCTAAGCACTCAAATCTCAATTACTGCAACGGACCCAAGTATGGGTCATCATAAATATCTGAAAACTTTAAGGCTCAAAGTCAGCTGCTAAGATATAGGCAGTCAATCTTAATCGTTTCAATGAATCCAAGTACATACCATCCATTCAGCTGCTAAGGTTTCACATCCAGCTTTCTCATAATGCACATTGAATTTGGGCTTCCATTCCCAAAAGCACCTACTTACTGGCGCACCCAATTCGCCTTTGGATTCATCTGGTAGACCAGGAATCAAAACTTTAGTTACTGGTTCCCCTGTTTCTGAAATACTTTCATCCTCTTCCTCTCCAATTATGTAGCCATCAGAGCTTCCACTTGACAAAATTGGATCAACATGTTTGAAGTTTTCACTGGTGTTTAATGACCTAAAACCTCCTTGGTGATTTAGTTGCTTCAAGAAAGGCTGATCTAAATTGTAACAGCTCAAAAACTTCCTTCTCCCATCAAATTTAGCACCAAAAATTCAGTTTTTTTTTTCTTTCTAAAACCTGGGAGACTGAATTGATGTGAACTTGAGCTTTTCACAATCAATTTCCACCTTTAATTAACAGCATTACAGCATGGTGCAGAACTGTATGAGAGTACTTCCATACCCACAAACTGAATTCTGCAATGATCAATCAAAACAATGATTCAACAACAATTTGATTTTACCCTTTATTGCATGAGACTAATTGAGAAAATGAAGAAGTATAATTTGCAAATCACATGTTGTATGTAGCTTTCATGATTCCAACTTTTCCCCAACACAAAAAAAGAAAAAGAAAAAAGAAGCACAAACTGATATGAAGAGAAGTTAATATCAATTACCAATCTTGAACTTCAGTTAACACCCAAAAACTGGTTAAGATATTTATTATAACTTGAGAAAAAAGACTAAACAAAATTAGCAACCAGTAGCTTTCCTGCACAACTCTAAAAGAAACACACAGATTTATGGCAAAAGAAGAACTAATTTCTCAAATATATTAGTTGACTTTAACATGAGAGCAAAAGATGCATAGTAAAATTGAATCTAGTTGGATTTAATTCTTTGTAAGTGAAGTTATCATAATTAAATTGAAATAATATAATAAAGAGAGTTGCTCACCATTTGGTCAACCAGTACACACTGTAAACCACTGTATTGATCATCCGATCCGATAAGTTTTGGTCGCCATATTCTACAGACTCGAACTTTGATCTTCTTGTTAAAGTGGAATGGTTCCAAACCACGAATGTGAACGAAACTCATTGTATTATAAAGCTGAAAATAAAATATATTTTTTGTTAGTATAAAAAGGTATGCAGGTATTTATCAAAAGTGACAGTAAAAATATAGAAATGTTTAACTATGAATAGATCAAAGTTGAAACCTGATAAGTACAAACAGAAAAAAAAAATCAGCCACACAGAAAATCTATAACCACACGCAAACAGAAATTCTATAACATCTATTAGAATTATAATTCTGATCTGGAGTCATTTAAAATAAAAAAAAATAAAAAAAAGAAGGAGTCTATAACCACACGCAAAAAGAAAATCAGCCACACAGACATCAATTACCAGATTGATGAGCAGACTGGGGGTTCTCATATTGATTACTCCAGATTTTCCTACCTGTAACACCAAACCAAACTCAATTTCTGATTTACTTCTCAATTTTCGACATGACAAATGAATAAATAAACCTAGAAAACCAAAAGAACGTTAAAACCAACCTTTTTTTTACGAAACCTAGAAATCCCTTTGAGCTAAACCCGTGCGAGGAGAAGAAGGATGAAGCGCAGCTGGAATGGCAACACTCGAACGCAACATCTGAGAGGAAAACCGATGAGATAAAGACCAAAAGGGCGGCTGGATTCGCAGCGCGCCTCCCCAAACGAAAATCGACGGCCCCCCACGCATGCAGAACAGTGAACTCTGATCTTCCATGGCTGCCCCCAACCAGCCCAACCAGCTGGTTCGAAATGGACTGGAAATCTCTGAGCGAACGAAACGTTCGCAAGGGAGGAGATGCGAATGGGAAGGGGCAAAAAGGGAAGAGGAGAAAAGGTTTAGTGGAGGGCATTTTCGGCAATTCACTGTGCTGAAGTAAAATGAGGGGCATTCTCGTAATTGCACTGTGCTTAAGAACAGTGTTTAGTTGAATTGCCGTTTAGTATATATATAATTTTCTCCTTCTGTACTAAGATAGTTATTTGACATCCACACTGAATCAAATTCAACTTTTTGAACTTATAATCTTTTGGAAAAGTGGCACAATATAAAAGACAACGTCTAACTGCCGGAGCCAACTCATAATAACTTAGGAATAGGGATCGAAAAACCTGTTGTTCAATCTCTTTTAAATCCATATCTTATTATCCAAAACATCTAGCCATTCTTGTCTGTTTTTCTTATATCGCATAAGACTAGCTAAAGTCTTTGCAGCAAGAGGCAAACCATTGCACTTTTTAACAATTTTGCTCCCAATAACTTCAAGCTGATCATCTCGTTCTCTATCAAAGAAAGCAATTTTATTGAATAATTGCAAACAATCTTGATCACTCAAGATGTTCAAATGGATTACGTGATCAGCGGTTGCTCCCATCACAGCAGCAACCGTCTCTTTTCGTGTGGTCACCAATATAGCACTATTTTGTAAAGCTCCCATTAATGGTTCCCAATTATCAATATGGTTGGATTCCACACATCATCTAGAACAAGGAATAACTTTTTACCACACTAATATATTCATTTATACATTCCAACAAAGGTTGCAAACTAGTTGAATTAATTCGATTATCATCTTTATTTAGAGCTTGAGCAATGGCTTTGGCAATCTTGATCTCTTCAAAAGGGTCTGACACACAAACCCATATTCTAGTGTCAAAATGAGTTTTTATATTTTCATCATCATTATAGACTAACTGGGCAAATGCAGTTTTTCCTAATCCTCCCATTCCCACAATGGGGATCACAACAAATGGGCTCTTCCCTTGTTGACTGCTCTCGCTTAACAACATGCTTATTAATATTTTTTTCTCCTCTTCACGACCAATTATACTAGACACTTCGACAAAAGAAGAAGTTTCAACCCGTTCAAGTTTCTCAGTGGCTCTAATTGTGTGCTCATGAAAGTTATAATTTTGTTTTAAATTGGTTATCTCAGTTAACTTTTCATGTGTTTCTTTTATTCTCTTAGCAATGTCATGACGCCTAACTACTTTATCAATTGGACCACAACCACAACAAAAGCTAGGGGAGGAAATGAAGAGGCATACCTTCTTCCTTTTTGTAAGGGCATCTTTCTCTTCTTTCTCAATTTGGTGCTTGAGAATTTCAGTGTTCCACTCGTCCAACAGATCGTTAATGTCGTACGACACATCTTCCAGACTCCGCCCAGTTTCTGACGCTGGCCTCCTTCACCTGCCTCTCCTCTGCATCCTAGAGCACAGCTTGAATAGCATTGAAATGGAAGATGAGATTTTCAACTTCTCGGTCAACATTCACGACCAGCCTCACCTCTTCTTCTCTCTGTTTACGTGTGATGGAAGCCAACTGCTCTAGGACCACGGAAACAAGTGCTTCAGCTATTGATGGTGGAAATACAACAGGGAAAATACGCCAAGTGCAGATGAACAACTGGGAAATATGATTAAAGCAGAGCACAGATCTCGAAAGCTAATGGCAAGAGAGACTCAAAAGAATAATTGTTGGTGAAGTAAGAAGCCTCACCGGCACCAGATTTTATAGCAAGGTTTTCGAACGTTGTACTAAAGTTGCTTGGTTTTGCTTTAATCCAGTAGAGCGGGCATTACTTTTTGGCAAAAACAGTGTTTTCCTATAACGGCACATAATTAACCTTATCCTCAGCAATGCAATGAGTGTTCTTGGCCATTAGCTTTTTTTGGCTTTACCCAAAAAGATGAGCTAAAGTGGCTTCAATATTGCCCCACTGTAACGGCATCATTTTACTCTTCTTGTTTGTATAACTGATCTGGGACTTCTGTTGGAAATCAAATCATACTTTGTGCAAATGGTGGGGTTCATGCCTGTTTTTGGCTCACCCTTTAATCTTGTGTATCATTTATAACCCACATGGTATTATTATGTGCAACGGTAAAACACCGTGCATGGTATTATTATTTTCATAAAATATCAGCTAGTAAGCTAGTTGCTACTATTGTTTTTGACCGACATGGTACTACCGTCACATGCAATAATATTTTTCTAAAACCAACTACAAAGAGAAGTTACTGTAATTGAAATAGCACAATGGAAGGTGGTTTATTGATCTTTGTTCTTTTTTCTTTTTGTTAGTTGTGTAAGACAAACTCAAGACCCAAACTAGATGAACTGTATACCTGAGGGTGTAATTTTTTTTATTTCATATTGGCTCTTATTCAATATAACTCCTTAAACCAGGAAACACAGTTGAGTATAATCCGGATCCAACTTAAAAAGCTTCTAAAATAAATTTATATTTATAGTCTTTTTAGTTAAGATTTAGTTTTGAAATTAGAGTATGACTGGAGGAGATGCTATTAAAACTTATGTGCAACTACCTATTAGCTTAGTGGCATGTAGTGTGATCAAGGTTAGCATACTAGTTATTGAAACCCTAGTCGGCCGAAGATATGTATTTTTCAAAAAAAACACTTTCAATTTATG